AACATCCAGTGCCATAGGCATTTATCCATCAGTTTTGTTGGGGGAACATTGCTTAATTGTGTGTGAAACAAGGCTTTACTGCTGTGAATCACACTGAATTGAATCAGATCAAATGAATGATCAGTATTAGAACTCAGCAGAAACCAGAAGTGTTAGAAATGTGTGCATCTTCATGTGTGGACATCAAAAAGATGGCTTTTGACTTGAGGTAGAAGTAGGGGTCACTGTATTGCCAGAATTGCCATTAAAAATGACATTGTTGTGAGCAAGCTAACCTGAAAGAAGCGTCCTTGCCTGCAGCTTTTTGAAAAGGCTTGTATTCCTGCAGTCATTTTTAGTCCCTTTCCACAGTACACTGGGTGCTGCAGACCCTGATATAATTACAGAACGATGTAAGTAAATACAGCACAAATGAATATATATTTACTAGATGGAAGAGGTTCTGAAGATCTCTTACTATTAAACAAAGTTTTTGTGGTCCTTAGGTACAATGTCTTTTTGTTTTACAAACGTGTAGAATGAAAATGGAAATGTGGCCCACATCTGCTACCCTGCTCTAAGACAATTATACGACAGTATGTCATGGTGCTGTACAGCTTTGAACGGTTTTGAGTGCAGACTTGAATAGGAAGACACAGTCAGTCTTTGAATTAATTGTACTTTGGCTTGATGTCTGTTTTTTATAAAAAAGTTTTAATAGTACTCTTGTCTAGTGAGGTAGACCTGGGCATCATATAAATAGTCTGCAAGGCAAAGTAAACAAATTACATTTTCTTGAGAAAGAACAAACACTGGTTTAAAAGATTCAGACCACTTATATGAATAGCAGGTTAATTTGTGTAGTCATAGCCATTCTCCCTTTTCACTTGGCAGGCGTGGGAGAGATGCTGCAGCATGTATGCTGGCATTTTGGCAGTGAGCATGTTCCCAGGAAAATGGAATTCCATTCTACATAGGAATGTAAGCTTTACTGAATATATTGCTGATTGTGCCAGACAACTATTCATAAACAGATTAACTTTGTGTTCCTCAAGCAAAGAACTGTTGTCACTGTTTCTTTCTTGTGAGCCATTTCTGAGTTGTCTTGAGCCAGCAGCATGTCTTCTGGTTTCATTCATATGTTCAGTTAAAGAATGATATTCAAACTGGTTTTCAAACTGAAAAAACCCACATCTTTTTCATGTATACAGTTTCTTGCCCACAAGTTCTTTGAAATGCCTAGGTATTAGATTTCAAATAAGAGAAGGGTGATTTAGTATACTGGGTCTCTCACTGCTTGTTTTGTTTGAAGATGTCTGTCTTGCATGTCGTCCTTTCTCAAACGTGTTTTCTTGTTACTTCTCATTTTTCCTGGTGCTGAGATGTCTACTATGGTGTGTAAGTAGATTAAATGATGTCTTTAACATCAGGTTTTAACAGCAGCCATAACATTTTATGCTAAGAAGTAGTCGACTCAAAACCAAGCTGAAGATGTTAAGCAAATGCAACTGCATCAAAACTTGACAAACCTGACCAAACGTTCAGTGCTCCCGTGGACAGATGCACTGTATAGTTGCTACTGGAAAACTGTTCTTAACCTTTTGAGTGGTAGATGAGAGCAAATGTAGGAGAGGATTTAAGCTGTCTCCCTGTATAGAGTGTCTTAAAAAAACCAAAACTGAATTGTCAGTTTGATAGGATTCAGGATGGGGAGTGAAGGAACAAAGGATTCTCTTCTTTCCTGGAAAACCTTGTGCTAGCAGTATATTCTTCTTTCTTTGAATAGCTTCTGTAATACATCCCTCAGGTAAAATAGAAGTGGATTTAAAGACTTAATGTTTATTGGGGGGGGGGGGGGGTTGTAAGAAGTAAATGTCATGCTTAATTCTGCCCCTCCCCCAGTAATTAAAACAGCTGAATGTGTGTGTTATCTTTTCTGCACTAGAACCAAGAGTGAAAAATGTCAGCCTAAGCAGTTTCTTTCTTTTTTATAATAGTTATAGCTGAATAAATACGGATTTTAAATGCAAGTTCCACTCTAATGATGGCCATTTAATAGAAGAATCTTAGCAACATCTATTTACTCATGAATGTGGTGCCATGCACTGCTTTTTAGTTTGTAAAATTCATGTAGTTTCTATAAAGCTAGTTCCACTCCAGTTACTGTCTTATTAATGTCAATGTAGAGATGTGGAGAAAGTTCCTATGCTCAAAGAAGTAATTGATTTCAGTCTAGCAGTTTTGAGCAGCCACACAGTAACACCCTAATGAACGGAAAACAGATGGTTCTGTTTTCCCCACACAGGTTACAATAATTCATAGATGAGCTGTGAAAATACTATTATTGATTTCTCTTTGGCTTGGGTTTTTTGTTAGTTTACAAGTCAAGCAAGGAGAGTTTGATTGTCAAGCTTTTTAACAAGCAGTGTCAGGTAGTATGTGCTTTCCTGTTAGTTCCTTGACTGTTGAGGCTTGACATGGAACACTATCATAAGAACAAAACTGAAAGGTAACATCTCATGCTGATAAAGCAGTTAACACTGTGATTTTGCATTCCAGGAGTTAAGAGCAAGGCGTTGATACTTGCCTGACACTAGTGAGTGCTCCTCCTGAAGCTGTCAGGACTTTTCTTAGCTTGTTTGTCTTTATCTAGAGCAGTTATTTTCCACTTGGTTGCAAGGTGGTGGTGGTGGTTAACAGCTTCCAGGTATCCTTCCATTAAAGGACTCTTGAGGTTATTCTCAGGAGACAGCTGGGTGTGCAGTCGTTGTTCTCTCTTAAAATGTCTCTCTTAATGGGACATAGGCTTTGTTAGGTGAGCAAGCAAAGTTTTCATCTTTGGTGGAGGAAAAATCCTTAATGTCCCCTGAAAAAAAGGCTGGCAGACTGGCTGTCTACCATTGCCTAGAGTCTGTTCATGGGATTAAATCACACACTGTCCAGACAACTTCTGTCTCTGGTTTTTTTTTGTTTTTAATGAAAAGTACAAACTGCTAGTGAGAGAAGAGTGGTGCCCTGTGTCAGGCTATGGTCTCCTTTTGTCTGACGTTCTTTGAAGTAGAATTTTCCTTTTTCTTTAATCTTGGAAGCTGTATACCAAGCTTTTACGAATCAGAGAGTGTAACCATATTTAAAGTTGAGGTTAAAAAGGAGTGAAGCAGGAATACATACTGCTTAGAAATGCAGATTTCATTGCATGTTATTTGCAACAAATTATATATGTAACTATATATGAAAGGGAGTCCTTGGAGTTCATAGTTGCTTTTATACATTGTTGGCATTTTGAACTAAAATTTGTTTGGCCACCCCTGAGAACTGCATCTGCACTAAGATTAAAAGCTTATGATCAAAATGAGGAATAACCATACATAATCTTTGGCAACAGCATATGGAATAACACTCTTTATTCCTTTGCCAGTTTTGCTTTCCTTTCTGAAATGTCTGCTCTCTATCGGTGTTTGCTGTGAAAATTACCCACGTGTTCATTAAGCATATTAAGGAAGGAGGCAAAAGAAGCTAGTTTAAAGGAAAAAAAACTTCATATACTTAGAATACTTAATAGAGCAAAAAGTCAACATAAATTTTAACTGTTCTCTTAGGGCCCCTGATGAATGTCCATAAAAAGGCTGAAAAATCTGCTTTGTAAAGATAAGAGCTTTAAGTTCCAATAAGGTGGTTGAGGTGCAGCTAACCTTGAGTTTTTCTCATGCCACAGACGCTTTGGCTTTAGAAAAATCTTTGAGCTTGTTTTCTTGCAAGGTCCCAGTCACTGCTGCATTCTCTATCCTCTTCTGGCTTGGTGCTGTCAGAGAGGAAAATGGTGCAAGGGCAGAGAAGTTTTGCGTCTCATTAGCAAGCAACACTTTGTCCTTGGGTGTGTATAGCTGTGTATATGTATATGAACAGTAGAAACTCAGGCAGCTGCCCACCTCTGTCTGAAAAGACCATAGTAGGGCAGGCAGGAGGAGTGGGGCCAGAAGCAGAGCACTGTATGCGGGTGGGTTGGGATGGAGAGGGGGATAACGGAGGAACACGTTACCCCAGCTCCACTTCCATCCCTGCCTGTGTAAGTGCACTCCTGAACGCTCTAACACAGCTCCCCTGCATCCCTCCAAATAAATATTTATAAAAGAAACAGTGGTTAGTGCTTCCCATTTTTCTGGTTCCCTTCTCAGTTTAACTTAGCTTGCTGCAGAGCAGATCTTTTTAGCTTCCTTATTTCCTCCTTTGGGAAAGATAGTATTGTACATGGAAAATAGCAGGGCTGTCACTGTGGGCTCTGCAAGGCCTATCATAAAGTCGGCACATTCAGGTTTTGTGTAGCAAAGTTTTTTGCTTGGGGCTACAGGGTAATGCTGTGTGTTGGAGCACTGCAGTAGATTTTCATGGGCCTGATCTGGAGCGCAGGATGCCAGATGTGGAGCTCTATCTGAAGCCATTGCTTCGCAGTCCCTCCAGCTCTACGCCCTGAATAATTGCCTTGCCTTAGGTGACCCAGCAAAAACTTAAAAATGTTTCCTGTGAAGGACGGTGCTCCCTGGAGCTGGAGGATGTGCTGCTTGCCAGCTCAGATGCAAAGCAGCAACTTAATGCCGCCCTGCTGCCTTGGAGTAAAAGTGTGCAGGGGGGTTGGAGCACACACTGCAGCACTTGTTGAAATTTGGTTATGGATTCTAGGCATGACAGATAGTTCTTTCAAAATGAAGGTCTGGTCTTCAATAAGTGTTTTGATTTGCATATGCTAAATGTTAGTTTGTTACAGGCAAACTGTATTTCTTATTGAATGCACCTTTTGCTGGGCACTGACACACAGTCCTAGGCAAAAACCATTTACTGAAGAAAACTGTTTTTGCTGGAGGGAGTTATAGCAGAAACTCTGGAATGATGTGTGGCTTGCTTTGTGTGGACTTAGTGTATCAAATACTTTGTAGTTTTTTGAGTTTGCTATGAAAGCATAGCCCATGCTGTTCCAGATCTTTCTCTTGTTCAAATTGCAACCTGACTTTTACGGTTTCTTGCAGGCCAGCCCTCCAGATCTCTATATTGAAAGATTTAACGTAGCTCTTGGACAGTATATGGGAGCATTGCAGAGCATTGTGCCTCTTTTCATATATATGGTAAGTTTTAGAAAATTCTTTTCAAATAAAGTATGTCCATACACAAGATGCTGACTGAAAGTGAAAAGAATAAAATGCAGCTGTAATGATTTTTAACTTGTAGAACTTATGATTCATGCCTGGTTTTGCTACCTGCATAACAGTACTGATGAAGTTGTATGGGGAGAGGAAGGGGGAGTCGTGCTTTTAAATGTGGAGTTTTGCAGTTGGTTTCTACCCTAATATTTCATTCCTGGGAGTGGGGGAATGGTTTTTATTTTGATTGCAAAAAAGCTGTCCCAAATAGTTAGGTCATTATTTATATCTTTCTGAATAGAGATAGTTTGTTGGCTTGGTAGTTTGGGCAGGTTACAAAGATGATTGCTTCTTGCTTTTAAATTGCACAGATTCAGACAAGATGGAAAGAAATGTCTCTTGGAAATGTCTGTGTCCCTTGATAAAGCAATTTAGAGCATTGGTTGACTGGATGAAGACAAACTTATGTTCATAGCACTGTCAGGCATACTTGCAGAGGTTCAGAAACCATTGGCTATAAGTGTTTGTTGTGCTGGTTTTGTAAATTATGAAGTCTTCTGTACCTTTGAAGAAGTTTATAATTTGCATTGGTTTTGTCAAAGTGCCAAGACTTTTATTCCTTTTTTTTATGGTAATGAATAACTTAAGCTTGAAATTTGTCCTTCTCCTAGAAACTGTCCTTGCCTTGGCATCATAAATAAATAAAAATAAAGGAAATACTTGTTGGGAAAGAAACTTTTTTAAAAAGGAAAAAGTATTTAAACTGATTTAGATTAAATAAATCTCAAACTCTTTTTTAAATTATTCTCATTGGTAGCTTCCCAGAGTTTGGGAGGCAGTAGAAGGATCTCCTATGGTTCAGTGAATGTATCTGAAACCAGGTAACTTGCTACAGTCTTTTGGCATAGTGTTACTGTACAGATTTGTTGCATTAAGAGAAGAATTTGCCTTTCTTGAGCTGGATGTCTTGTAATTTGCTCTTTTATCTAGTTTATACAGAATGAAATCCAGTTGGTACAGCTTCACTTGTAAGCTAAGGGATGTAAGGGATGTGTTCCTGGTGATGATTTTTTTATTTTTCTCCTGGTTCTTGTCGTAAAATGCTGGGGAAGAAACTAGGAAGAGACTTTTTTCCCCCTATTGCATTCAGATATTTTTAGATGCTACTGTTTTTTCACCTGTGTGCTTCACTTGTTTATTGCACAAAGGTGTTTAAGCAATCTCATAATTTAATATCCATTTACAAGTGGAGATAAGCTGTTCAGGTGTGTACTTTTATTGAATGCTCCATTCTGTCACTGAGGTTCTTCCATCACAGAGGTCCAAATCTATCCTTAACAATTAAGACTGCAGTCACTATTGTTGAAAAAATTTCATGATAGACATATAAACAGACAGGTTTTACCATTATAAGCTTTGTCTATATGACCAGATAAGGTATAATTGCCGAATAGATCTCCATATCTTTCTTTGTGATGTGGTGTTTGTATCTTCAAATGAAGAGTGCTCTGTATCCCATTGTTTCTTTTTTTAGAGTTTGAGTCTAACTGATACCTGAACATAGTAAAAATGGTTAATGAGTAATAAACAGACCTGTAAAATGAGTAGTTAGGTAGTAACTTTTTAATTTGAGAACAAAGAAAAGTGAAAGTACTCTATGGTTTGAAAGGAGAAGCTTCTTTAAAGCATGACTAGTGATTTGTTCAGGCAGTAAAACTCTGTTAATGCAAACACTTTTCATTTAAGTGACTTAATTAAAGTTAGGCCTGAGAGTTATCATAGAATCATAGAATGATTTGGGTTGGAAGGGACATTTAAAGGTCATCTAGTCCAACCCCCCTGCAATGAGCAGGGACATCTTCAACTACACCAGGTGGCTCAGAGCCCCGTCCAACCTGACCTGGAACGTTCCCAGGGATGGGGCATCGACCACCTCTCTGGGTAACCTCTGCCAGTGTTTCACCACCTGCATCGTAAAAAATTTCTTCCTTATATCTAGTCTGGATCTACCTGCCTTTAGTTTAAAACCATTACCCCTTGTCCTATCACTACAGACCTGCTAAAAAGTCTCTCCCCATCTTTCTTATAAGCCCCCTTTGAGTAGAGTTAGTGACTTATGTGTTAGTTCCTCTTGCTGCCAAATGCAATGCTGATTTGGCTCAGCTATATAGCTGGTTTTGTAGGCTAATGTCAAATTAAGTCTCATACTTTTTCTCTGAAATAATTTATTAATCAGTGCTGTGCATGATGTGGAAAATATCTCTATAGAAGTCAGGATGAAAAAATGTTTGCCTCAGGTTTTTTTCTGTGTGCATTTGTTGGAAGTACTTTTATGTACAGCTACTCTTGCAATTTTACATTGTAGCGTCTAATCAAGTTTTCTCTCATACAGCAGCAGCAGTTTCCTTTATTTAGGCAGGAAAATACAATTAAAAAACAATTGGAAGAGGTGAAAGCCTAATTATGCTAGGTATAAATTACAGCTTTGCAGTTACTTTAATAGATACTTTCAGTGTATGTTTAAGCAAAGAGGACTAAGTTGTTGAACTCTGCCTTTTTATCAGAGATGGCAAGGCTTTCCTTTTTTAGTAGTGATGTGATTGCTTTAATCAGGAGTTTCCAAGGCTGTTGAATTGCACAGATAAACTTTGTTCTGAAAGGATAATTATGTTGCTGCTTAGGAAGACTTTTAATATGCATTTAAATATTTAAAAATCTAGGAAGCTGAGGAAAACCTAGAGGTTTTTTGTGCAACTGTAACATGTTTTTGCCCCTTGGTGGCCAAAAAAGGCATAGTATTTTGCGTTAGGCTTAGTCTTGTGCGTTTTGATATCAACAGCAGCACTCTTCTTCTTTTTCCTGATGTACCAAACCACATTCTTCTGTGTGAATGGTGGAGAATACAGGAAAGGTGTTTTCTTAACCTGCTTGTATATGGGACCAAGGTGTGTTTCAAGGCTTATTTTGAGTGGTGGTTGAGAGGGCTGACTTTGCAATTGAGGGAGTTTTCTTTTTCCTTCTCTTGCTAGGAGCACTAGTGGTTTTTTTTTTTTGCGTGGGGATGGATTTTTTCAGTCTTACGCTGCTACAGTGGACTTTTCAAGAAAGCATGGAGATGCAGAGCACTTTTGTCCTTCCAAAATTCTGTGGATTTAAGTTTCTTCAAATGTTCTGGGACGTAACTGCATATAAAGCAAATTAAACTGGAAGTCAGCTTAGCACACAGTGCTTTATTCCTAAGAATAATTCCTAGTGAATAACTGTTTGCTTTATAAATCTAAATGAGGTTATTCTGGATGCTTAGAGATTGTACATATCACAGTATGCTGCATGTGCGAAGGAATAAAAATCATATTTCCACTTCAAGAAAATTTAAAGTCAGCATTTGGGTGATATACTTTTTTCTAATAGGTTCTCAATTGTTAATTATGCTTAGAGATGTAGCTGAAAAATCTGTTGTCTTGTGGCATTAAATGAGCCTAGCATTTGTGAGCACCATGGTTTTAGGATAGTTAAGAATTTTTTCATTGCCTCTAAAATATTACTATTCTTACTGGGTGGTATTGCACTTCGTTGCTTATCAGCTAGACGGCATTTTGTGTGTGTCTATACACAAATATATGTGAGTATATATGTGTGGATGAGATGATAAGCACTCTTATATACTGTTTTTTCTCTTTCAAGGATTTATTGCTCTCCTCTTAATATTAACACAATTATGTGTTTTAATGTGTGCCAGATTGCTTTATGATATGGTGGTTTGTAGAAGAAATGCTTATACCATATCTGACTTTCTCACTTATTGCTATCTGCTTACCTTTTACCTGCCAGTTAGACCTTTAGGTGACTTGACACACTTTTCAAGAAATACTGGTACAGCCTAGGTAGTGACATCTTACACAGAAAATCTTCCTGGTTTTCCACTAGCAAGAATGGGGAAGGTGACAGGTCTTCTGCTATCTTCTTTCAGCACTGTGGATTGGAAATGAAGTACTTATGTTAGGTGATTTTTCATTGTCTGTTTAAATCCATGCAAGTGTTAACATCTTTTTGGAAAGATGTCTCCAAGTAAGCAAATGTGAAGAGTATTTTACAGTTGTTCTATGTATAAGTATTGTGTTGTAACTCTTCTCCTTGAAACTGCAGGGGGGGTTTGTTGCTTTTCTAGTTATGAAACTTAAGGTATAGGCTTTCCAACTCTTAAACAAAAGGAAGCATCACAGTTTGCACATGTCACTGCCAGCCGCTTTTAATGCAAGAAGGTCTAGAGGCTGGGAAGGGAACTGAGTAAGTTATTTCCTTAGCCAGGCGCATCTCATCTGTCAGCTCATAAGAATCAGTAGTTTGACATTGTCAGGTTTGATTCAGGTCAGTAGACTTGTGCTGAGATGCTCTGGTCACGCCTGTGTGTTGCACCGGTGGGGACATGGCAATATGTGGTCAGGAGCTCAAGGTGGAAATGGTTTAGGAAGTCGAGTCTGATGAAAAACTGTAGCATGGTGTGTAGTTTAACACCTCCTAGAAGATGTGTATCTTCAGTTGCTGTTCAATTTCTGTTGCAGTGGCAATTCACCATGGACCAAAAATTTTACAAATGAAGTTAGTCTGTTTCTTACAAGACAGGTTATTCTGTCTGCAGAGCCTTTCTCTCAATCTCTGTTTGAAGAACAGGCCCAGGTGAGGGGGAAATAACTGAGTCGTAGCCCTTGATAAAACCTCTACAGGTAGGATAGCTTCAGGAAGGGAACTGGCGGTAGGAAGCTACTAAATTTTTAAAAAATCTTTTTAAGATTGTTGTCCATTACTGCAACAAACCTAAACTGTGTACTCAGCCCTCGTTTTGCCTTTGTTTGAACAGGTTCAGTTTTCATTAAAGGTAAATAACTACTGCTCAATGCTTGCCGTGAAAATTTAAGTGGTTTCTGCATAAACAGTTTATTACGGTATGTCTATAGTTTTGGTAATGGCCAAGAGAATGGGTTTCATGAAAAAATGTAAAGATTGCTCTAATAGTGTTCTGAGGGTTTGTTCCAATTATGCTAAATACTTTAGCAATTAGGAGAACATCTTGATTTAAAGTGTGGAAAAACCTCTCTCCCTTAAGATATCCCTTCCTCTAGTAAATCTCTCAGATAAGTGTTCCAGTATGTTATTTTTGATTAAGTTGATTTTTCTATTACAGTATTTGTTTAACTCTTTTACACAAGTTGTCCGGATGAATTCAGTTGTGCTACTTTCATGTTAGTGTTGTAACGACAGAAGATTTATATTGAAACAATTATTTTTTTCCAGAATTTAAAACCCACCTATGAATAAAGTACAGACAAGAGATCTTACTCTTAATTGCAGGCTGGGAACTGAGGCATAACACCAAATAGTATATTAGGTATAGAGGCCCTCAAGGAACTCATGAATAGAATTTCCTTTGAGGGTTGAAGAGATGAATTTATTATTAATGCTGAGTGTGTCAAGATAATTGAATCCTAAAAATTTTAGTGTAGTTCAGTTTTGTGTAGATTTGTATATATCACTTATTTCCACAGTTGGTTAATTCTGAGCAGCTATCCTCTGAGATTATCGATGAACCATAGAAGTGGATAGCTGTACTGATGATTTATTATTGTAACATACCTATTTTAATGACTTAATCACTTTTAGACATTGGTAAAAATGTTTTCTTTTGTTATAAACATGATGTCCAGCCCTGTTTTGGTGTTCTAAAATGAAGTGTTTTTTCTACAAACTCCCCAATCTAGATCGATATGGAGATATATCTCTAGATATAGAAAAAAAACCCCCAAACATATGCATGCCTGTATGTAAATAGGTTTGTTACCAATAGTAGCACGTGCATTCTTAATATTAAATACATGGTTTTTTGTTGTACAGGGATGTTCTATTTATTATAAATGCAGTCACCAAGGAAGCACTTTACAGCTCAAATATTCTACAGCTTTAAAATTTTGAATTATTTTTCTTCAGGGAAAAAGTAAGTTTACCGTTTGCTATTATGAAAAACAAACTTGAAAACTTCTGTCTTATTTTCCAGAATAAATTTTACATTGAAACCAAGCTTAACAGAGACTTAAAAGATGACCTTATAAAGCTGTTTACGGAACATGTTGCAGAAAAGCACATTTACAACCTAATGCGTAAGTAAACCTATTGAATATTTCTTGCAGTGGGACTCTGGAAAACAACAGTGCTTTCAGATATTGCAGAAATCCACAGCAAATAGGAAGAAAGTGGGAAATGATTAATGAACTTAAATACAACTTCATTTTTTAAGGTGTCCACGTGAAGAAATGTGGCACACTTCAACTTTTTTTTACTTTTTTTTTTTTTTTCCAAAAATACGACTTTGTATGAAGTCATGGTTTTCTTGAGTATCTGGGGGAACCAATATATATTTTCCCTTATGACTATGGCATAACAAATGCTTTATTCTCCTGTTGCTTATGTTGTTGTTCTTTAATTCCGTTATCAAAATATTGACAGGTATCATTAAGAATGTGGTGTGGTCAAAGAATTGTGATACTGCTGGGGTTATTGTCATGATGTACTCAAGTAGTCCCTGCTAGTTAGTGAACTGCATAATGCCAACAGCAGTTTCTCTGTTAAGCTAATGGGTTAATGCAAATAGAATACATTTCAAGTGATATGCTTCCCCTTAAGTGCTCCTGTCGTGAGCCACTGAGTTTGCCTGCAACCTGCCACCATCAGTGTGTGCTTGTGTGACCATGGGGACCTTGCTTCTGACCTGGTTAGCTCCTCAAGAGGGCAATTAGCAAAGGCAGAGATAATGGGACTTGGAGTTCAAATTGGAAAAGTTTGCAGAGTGGTGAGCAGTTGACCAGTGTGCTGGGAGAATTGCAACTGTAGGTGCTTCGTGCAACTGGGTAGTTCCTGTGCCCTGTGCTGAGTTCAGTATCTAGCCTGGTGTACTCCTTTCTGTGACCCAGCCCTACTCGGTGTCTCTGTTTCCATCTAGCTGCTCCCCTCCTCTTTTTTCTGAAGCAATCGCTATCTGTGTGCTAAATGGAGACCAAATGATGGGTGATTAGAGTTGAGTATATTTTGCCTTGGGTAGTAATGTCCTTTTATCTCCAGCGAAGGGCTGGGGGAAAAGAGCTTTGCTATGGTTTTTAGGGTCACAGTGAGTTGGCATCTTGGGAGAAAGGTGGGTGAACAAGGTGACTACCCTGAGGTCAGGGAGTCTGGTACCCTAGAATGATGGGAGACCATCAGGTCTGATGCCATCTTGTTCTTGCCGTCTGGAAAAGTCTCCCTAAGAAATGCTTTTAGCCATGTAGCGGATCAGATCACCTTGGAAATAGCAGGACAATGAGGAATGCCCACCCGTGGACCTGATGTTTTATTCTGTGCTAAAGAGGTTTAATGGTATCCTGAAACCCGGTAAGATGATTGCTGTAACGGGATCATGGAAAATTCAGCTGATATTGCCTTAAAATTGAATACATTTAATTTTAAGTGTGTGCATTTTTCAGGCAATGAAAACATTAATCTGGGTGGGTGGGTTTGTTTTTGGTTTGGTTTGGTTATTTTTTTCAATGACAAAGCAAAGGTAACACCAGTAATGTCAGATGTGTGTTGCTATGTAATTCATTTTCTGTGGATGATAATATGAGAATCAAATAGAAATTGCAGATAAACTATTGAAAGGAAAATACCTGTGGTTGCGTGTGTGAAATCTGAAATACTTCTCCCCAGCTCTGTGTTAGTTGCAGAAGTAAAATTAAAAGAAAACATTGAAAAATAAAAATAAGCTGTCACTGACTGTGTTGCTGTATATGGTGCTATTGTTTAATAAGCAACTTCCTTGGATTTCATTTCAGTCTTACCGTCAGTTTATTAAAACTAAGTTATTTAGTTTTGATCTTACTCCTAAGTAAGACAATATATACTGACATGTTTAAACTCTTAACTGTGATCCGACTTGGATAAATCTTGGATAATATGATCATTAAATTGAGTTAAAGTATGCCTAAATAAAACTCTAAACTTGCTAACAGATTCCTGGGAAATAATTGAAGACACATAGCACATGATCTATTGCTGTAGAGGTGCTGAAAAAGTTCTAGTGTTGTATAATTTTCTGCCATTCTCAGCTGTTCTTTCTAACTTGCTGAAATTCAGACCATAATACATATTACCTTCATTTTTTGAAAATGTAAGGGCTCTATGAAAATAGGATATAAGTCAGTTTTTGTTAATTACTTTACTTCCCGATGTCATTGTCAGTATGTGGTACCATTTCCTGATATTTGATATAGATTTGGTTCAATAGAAAAGTGTTTTTGTATTTGGGGGGGTGGGGGTGGGTGGGAAATAAGGTTTTGAGTGGGTATGCTTAGGAAATTAAAGTCAATGAAATTGTGGTCTCTATAGAGAAATGGAATCCTGGGGCTGTTTTTTAAAGAGATGCTGCAGCTGCCACTTCAGTGAGAAGCAGCATGCCTTCCTCTATTTTAAAAAATGAACAACAAAATCAGTTTAATCAGTTTATGATCTAGACTCAGAGGACAAGAATAATATCTGCTCTTGCTCTTGAAGTTTGTTGCTGTATTTTTCATACGAAGGGGTTTTTGTTTGTAGTATCTTGTCATTCTATCAGAGCCTGGAAGCTGGCATTTCTATTTGAAGTTGTGCTCAGGAAGGACTGTAAGTACATTTCAGGTTCATTTGATCTAAGAAAAAGTTCTTGCTCCACTTCAAAAGATGGAGAAAAAAAATGTCAGAAAAGTGGTGCAGCACAGATCTCTTCCTTAGTGTTTGATCTTGCTCAAACTCCCACTGGTTGAGTTGGCTCTAGTCTCTGTGCTGTGTGGTTGAAAGCAGGAAGATGCAAAATGAACTGCTGGTACAATGGTGTCTGTGGTGGGAGCACTTATCTGAGCACTTAGTTGCAGAAAATAGGGTGATTAAGCTGTGAATTCATTATTTACAGAAGAAATATCGCCCAAGTGAGCTTTACTTAGATAAATTTTGCCTGCACAAACATTGATTTGGTTCCTTTTTTTTTTTAATAGAGGAAATGTTTTTTTTTTTTTTAAAAAAAGCTCTACTATCTGGAGCACTTCTGAGCTTTTAAAGTAAATACATTAAAAAAAATATAATACACAGATCCATGAACACAGTTGTGTTTGTGAAACACTTTTACACTCACACATACTTACCAAGTCGATGCTCTTCAAAGTGGATACATTTGAACTAAGTGAATATAACCTGATCATTTTCCTTACAAAGCCAAAGCTGGCTCTTGCTGATAAGACTGCTGTATTAGATGGCTTGGGAGAAGTTGCTATGTGCAGAACTACTTAACTGAATGTAACAAGCAAAGATGTAGCATCTTATTTACAAGAAGCTTCAGAAATGGCGGGAGGAAAAGATGTGGATAATACCCCCTTGTCATGAGGGAAGGGATGTTGTCTTTGTTCCTGCTGGAGTTCTGCATGAGATGACTTTAAGCAGTAAAATTCAGAAGTATGTGTTTTCTCTCCTTATGCAGCCACTGTCTCTTCTAGTAGGTTAGACCTGAGTTTTCCAGGACTGTAATCTCAGTGCCCTGGAAACATCCTGCCTCTTTGTTCTTGTGTCTAGAAGAATGGCAATTACTGCGAATGTTAACTGTCTTCAGTGGTGAAAATGAGTAACAGCTCCTGAAACTCTCTACTTTAGTACTTGCAGTAGGTAAAATTCAATGGCAGAGAGTATTTGCAAGTAACTGCCACTCTTCTTTCTTTGGATATTGGCAACTTAGTGCCCAAAACAAGCTTGCTTTTTAATCTAACAAAAGAGGAAAAGCTATTAACAGTGTACTGTTGTTTCTGGTTGGTGGATAGATCACATGGTTTACAATTACAAGAGTTTGCAATTACCCCTGTTCTCTTTCCAGAAACTAAAGAAAGGAAGGTGAGTGCTAGGCTGGAGTCCTGAACTGGCAGGGTTGATGAGGTTCTCAATATCTTGATACTGAGACGAAAAGCAATTATGACTGAAACTGGTCATATAGGTGAAAGCAGTTTTAGAAGGCAATCTGAGGAAAAGGATTCTCCTTATTCTTCGCTTACACTGGTGTTCATGGGGGAAGTGGGATGTATCAGATTGATTATGGCACTTCCAAATAAGTGGTAGCCTTAGCATATCACTGTAGTACTTCATCCATTTCTATCTGTGTGTGTATGAGCTGTTTCTTTCCTTCCATGTTAAGTGTTTTGAGTTCAGGAAGTGGTTTCCACTCCTGTAGGATCAATGTACTGGTAGATATCATTCAATACAAGCTGGTTCTTCCCAAAGAAGCATCTGCCTGAACTTCTGGACAGAAGTTACTCAACTAGGAAGTCAAGTGAACTCTATCAGAGGGAAAAGCACTTTCTTCAACACTTCTGATTTTGTTCCTATTGACAGGGGTAGACAGTAAATATTTGTGTGTTCCCATCTTTGATCTACTATGTCAGGAATAAATCATTGAAGCAGGTCCTTTTTATCCAGAGGAAAGGAAACCTCTTGGGACATGGCGAAAATGCCATAGAATAAATAGGGCCTAAGACTTCATGGGTCTTAAAATTGTTATCAGGATCCAAGGTGATAACACGGCCTGTGAATGAGACAGTTCCCTTGAAACTTACTGATTCAGAACTAGGGCATGGGCTTGAAAACATGTGAAATCTAGGCAAAATGATTATTGAGGATTAAAGCATTAGATCTCAGCTTCTGGCTGTGTCAGATTTTTGTTCATGATATATATCAAGATAATTACAGAATTAGTTATGGAAACCTGAGCATACAGAGCGGTTATTTGTATGTAGATTCTAATAGCATGTAGGCAATTGTTGAATGTAGTTCTCCGTATCAGTGCTTATGTGAGTTCAGAGCTAAAATCCAGTGTAGAAATGCATAATCTGTAACTAGCAGCTTTTCTCATGGTTTTCCAAGAAAAATATTTTTGTAAAAAGTCTGGAGGAGCGTGAGGAATCACAGCCTATTTCATTATGTTTGCAGTTTCTCATTAATTACTGGCAAAAACTTTTCTCTGAAGATTCTTACATACGACAGCTTTCTTCCCAGTTATGTCACTTGGGTTCAGCTGTGGTGAAGGGATCTTGCTGCTCCATTTTCTTAATTTTTATTT